ATGTTAGCCAATAATATCGAGCGGTAGCCACTAAAACACCTTGATTTACATTGTATGACTAAAGGATTGATAAAATGTGTGGGGAAGATAAAGCACGTTTTGTTGCAATACGCCGACACTGGGGTAAATAAGTACTTCACAACCTCTCTTCCGGTTCGTGTATGGGCGGCCAGCCCGATGGCAAGGAAATTCTCTTACGGATACGACTGCATCATTCACTTCTACATGGAGCCAGATTTCTTGAAACATAATGATTCCAAGCTGAGGAAACTCTCTTGAAAAAACAGTGTTGGATAGTTCATTTAATTTCCTCATGAGCGAGCGAATGTTGATGCTAAGCAATACTGGGACGCTCAGATCTCTCAAATTTTTCATTCGAAGAGCAACTCTCCATCCAGAACGATGTTTTCTAACAGAATAGTTACACTTATTATGAATTCGTTTCATTTTGTTCCTGATAACACAACAGTTCGAAAATGCACGAGTTACGAGCGTAGGAAAACGTGGCCATTTTAAAATATCGCATGAGTAGGTTCGGATGGCTGGACGACTAATGCATTAAAACGAGAACCGATAGAGCAAAATGTTAGATGCGAGGACGTGTGTGTTGATAAACGTTAAAGAGTAGAATCCTGGCGCACGGGCAAATGTGAAGGCTGCGCAGACAAAATAATTTACAGCCAGCGTAGCAAGCTAGATTTTCAGTCTGGACCGTCAATTTTCAAGTGCGCAGTACCTTGCATTTTTATCAAAGATTACGCGAAGGACAGTAGTAGTAGCCTTGGAGACAGCTTGGCTGATAATACTGTTGGATTATCCTGAAAACTAATGTATCCATAGCGATACTATAAAAACGATTATCAGTGACCAACACTCGGCCGATTTAAAGGCTGAGTGTGAGGAACGCAACTCAACTATTACACCGTAATACAAAAATATAAGATATCAATTAATATATAGTACGCTAACAGCTTCTGCAGTGGCAGCTATTCGCGATGTGGTCAATGTGGGTCCGTGGCTGGTTGGCGCCATGTCATTCAGGCAGTCAGTTAACAGCAATATGGCGGCCCACTGTACTGACGATTCGCTGCCACACGACCATCAGCGGTCGCGCATAAGCTGAGTATACCGCGACGACACCCGCCACGACGCGGATTCCAACCGGTGACCTAAGGATCGCAAGGCAGACTAGCAATAGTTTCGATCATCGGCCGACCGCCATGTCAACCTTCAGCGAGTGTTGTGTCGGAAGATAGTGTTCGTGAGAAATAGACTAGCATATTCACACAGGTGTAGCTACAGTTCGCCGCTATCATTACGGCAGGCTACACCACGTTGGTTGCATGGCTGAAGCCCATCAGTAGACAGCATTCTAACTTAAGCTTTCGGACCAACAGCAAGCAGTACAGTGTCCATACTTATTCTGTAATGAAGGAACACGTTCATTTTGTGATAGAAGTCATCTTCCAGCGGGTGGGTGCAGCGGTTTGTGGGCGCGTATGCAGCAATGACAACCAGGCACCGTTTGTTCTGGCGTGACTGCGAGGTTTTTAAAGAGCCTGCCAATCTGATGACGCATATGCCGCAGTTGACTGGGATCCAGTCGACCAGAGCAGCTTCAGCCCGGGGGCTCAGACAAAATTCCACGCCAGCTTGACCAGCAATTTTAGCTGCGTCATCTCCGGCAAACGAAACGGTAGGGCGTCCACTGTCTCATGTGGGGATCGCAGATTAATCACAGATCTTGAATCTTGCGAGCGGAGTTCGAGAAACATCAGATATCAACCAATAGAGCCTTTAGTGTTAGGACAATTGCTGCCTGTTGGCCAGCCCGTAACTGAGTACGCACGTTGAGTCACGCCAGTCTTAGCGAGAATGGAGGTCTACAAGGAGAAATGGCTGAACTGTCTTTGTCCGCTTTGTTGAACGTGGATTAGTCTACTGGACCGAAGCGACGCGCTGCAATCGCGTCTGAGCGGAAACTAAAAGACAAAAGCTTATCAAAGCAACGAACAGTGAATAATGAACAGTAATTTATTACGGGTTGAAAGCAAACGCTTAACATGTTCCCTAGGATGGTTGAAATGAGTACAATGAAATCAAAATATATGTGTCATTTACAGATATTCCTAAGGAGGATAAGTGCTTCAACATGCAGTAACCCGAAATAGTTCTGTGGTAAGCTAAATGGTAGATGTTAAATACGATTCACAATGAGAACAAACATTAAGACCTCTGATCTAAGTAACAATATGGTTACTTACTTTACCACGACTACACGGTGCAACGGGTCCTAAGAAAACTGTTTGGAAATACTGCACAGCCGCGCCCAATGACGTTGCCACCTTGAGTATGGGAGTTGAACCGGTAATAGGAAGTAAAAACAAGTTTGTAAAGCTCATGGCTGTTTACTTACACGTTCGTAGTTTAGGGAGATGACGGTGGCATTTCCACCTGTGTCTCTCACTAAAAGAATCGAGGTAAACTAGTGGGGAAAAGAGAGGTGGTTTCAAGCTTCAATGCACTCCCAATTCTCTACAGCATTCCTAGTCATGTCTACAACAAATGGTTAGCATCTAAGAATGTAGCCCCGATTTTATCAACTTTTGTAAACCGACTGAACGCCGTAGATTAGTGGATGAATAAATCGGTACATTTATCGACAAGTTACCGACGCCCACACGTACTGGACAATCGTTGGCCCAATGCACCGATAAGAGTACTTAGCATGTCTTCGCACATAAGAGGGATGAGTGGAACTAATAAAGATTCCGATAACACGCTATCTCATCCACTCAGTCCGGTTGTGCTTTAAACTTAAAGTTCGATTCAGTACACTGCACAATCCGAGTACTGCCCACCAAGGAGGTGCAGGAGAGCATGATATGTAATAAAATCCACGCAATGAAAAACAAAAGGAAAGGCCTTCAGATCATGCATTTGTTAAGCTTTTAGTAAATACTAGATTATTTTAAACTTAGACGAACTTGTAGCGGCGAAATACCACTCAGAACGTTCCACAAAAAGGGGATTTGCGTATATCATAGGCAAATGTCTTAAACACTGGAATTTCGCATATGTCGTGTCTGACTCACGCCTAGTTCCACTTACAGCGATAATGAGAACGGGACGAGATTCAGAACCGGAGTTTATCTGTCGGTATGCAATATTGTTTTATAGGGAGCAATGGAATAATACCAATGAAAAGCAAACATGTTAACTTCTTGAGCTGAAGTTAATTAGTGAACTGAATTAAGTCTGCATTGGAACCGACGTTGAATCCCAGTCAAATACTGTAGCTGTACTCGTTTGTCTTGCACAGCTTTCTATTTATTCAGACTCGGCTGATACCTTCCTCTAACAGCGTACACGATTTTCACCCGATGAGCATCAATTGTCCCAAAGAGGAGTTCTAGGAGCCATGAAAGTATGTATGCACGATCGAGGGAGCTCTGCAAGAGTTACGAAACTGTATCACACATTTCCACAGAGCATTGGGATGGAAGCAAAGTATAAAGGAGTATTTTAAAGAAGGGCCGGATGTGGTACGAAGTGTATTAATAAGTAACAGTCAGCGGGTATTTACACATAGGTGACCTTAGCCTCCGCAAGCATAGGCAACATTTGACCGGGATCTGCAGGGAAATGCCAATACTATATGGGACGGAAGGAGAACGGATGGCAGCAGTGTATCCTAAACAGTGATTGCTCATATAGTGCAGTTACTGAGTCTACTACCAAGGTAGTAAGGTGTTAATATCATCAGGGTATGTGAGGTTGATTCACATAGCCAGAAGCAAGAGATCCAAAAAGGGTCGATGACGACTGATCGGGTTGCTCTTTTCGTGCTCACTGAAGATATAGATAGTGGATACGGCTGGGCGTATTTCTGGGCTGTGTTTCCGTCCAATGCCGTACATACCGCATAGATTGCGAGCCCTCGTACTAGTGGGAGCTGTTCGCATTAGCACTGACCTGCATAGCTTGTTACAGGACGGCTTAATTTAACTTCTAACAAAAAATTGCATAGCATTTGGAGTAAAGATTTCTCTTCCTGCAACACTGCATTGCAAGACTGGCTTTCTACTCGCTTGTACTCTTGGAAAAGGGAACTGCGACTCCAACCTTGGGCTAAAGCTTCGGTGAGGTCCCAAGGTCTCGGGTTCTAGCTACAATCCTCCTCCATCTATTTGGTGAATTCGAACGAGTGCGCAGTCGGTTGCGGCGTATGGTGCTGCGAACCTTTAAGACCTACTATTTGTTTACTTCAGATGCGATCCCAGTGCCCGAATTGGCCGAAATATAATCCGAAGTGAATAGCGTCCCAGACTGAGGTTAAGTGTAACAATCCATTCATACGACGTCTGCTTCAAAACAATCCCTCCAACGAAATGTTTCCCTTCTTTTCTTTCTATACTTCCACTGTGCTTGTCTCCGCTCTGGAGTATTTAAGTTATTTTCTCTACCCTGTTGTCTATAACTGATCACCGGTGCGTGTTCTGTTGGATGGTGTCTGATCGACATTATGCGAAGGATGAGGTGGCAAGTCCAGGCATACAGTGATGCATCAGCCGTATATATGGAATTCGGATCACAAACTGGTCCTGGTGTCGGCGCATGCTGGAGTGTTATATTTGCAAATGAAGGAAATGGGATCGCATCGGTGCCTACACGCTGTGTTGCTTCATCCGTTTGAAGTTTCTCAGCATAATTGTCCCCGTTTTGGCACGGTATCAGTACCTTTGCCTAGCCTTTATCTGAACCTACTATATAGCAGCGCAACAACATGGAGAAACGGAAATCGAACTCAGTAGTACCAAAAATCTGTTTGGATAATATGGAGGATAAATACGCTCAGCTCAGTTACTTTTCCGTAGCAAAGATGTAAAAAAGGTAACTAAGCTATCAAACCCAAAATCTTTAGCTTTAAGTTCATACGGATGCACTTCCTAAATATGTAATACGTAATTGTATGCGAACGTACCGTTTTGACGTTTTAGGCAGCAGCCATCCGGTGACACCACGTCCTGCAACACCAGACCGACAACCTCATCGTCGTGCAACTCACGGATCCCCAACCGATGGTCGACGTATCGCAGAAACCCAGAGTCCCACTCCCAGCTGGTGGTCTCCTTGGAGAGGTTGGTTACTGTTCATGCTTGCCGATTTCGGTGCTATTCTAATCAGTTATAAGTCTAGTTCATAATCCGTGCGGTATTGTTGGAGTTAACCCCTTTGAAACTTAGTGCTGCCTTGCTCATCTTATGGGCCACAATGAACATTACTCCCTAATGTCCGTCTTGCGTTAAGTAGGCTTACCATAGAAGTTACATGTAGTGAATGGCATTTATGATGTTGCACTTACTACTGATTTGAAATATTCGCCTTCGGAAATGTGCCGCTTGTGTCTGGGCTCCTGTACCACCAAACTAAGTATTGCAACATCTTGCTGGTTCTAAGTTATTGACGTTCTCCGATTTGTGCAATTGAAAGCAACCAGTGCGTCGGTAATTATCGCTAATGTCAGAGTGGGTCCAAGAAAATTGTAATGAACCGCCATCCCAGTGATTCGCACGCGTTAGATCATTCGTCAATCCCAAGCTAATATGCGGGTAGTACAGGGTCAAATGTCGCAATACATTTGTGATCTACCCTGGAGGCACTAGTTTAAGTGCAGGTTTCTGGCTGTTAAGTGAACCACATGACTTGGTGAGAGGTCACGACTGGGTGTTCATGAATGTCCCCCTCATAAGAAGAGAGTATATTTTAATCAAAATTAACCTGTTCTGACCGTTCACTGGACACGTTTGCAATGCCATACATTTACATTGTGATAGTTGGTGAGTAGACAGTAGTCGTAAGAGCGGGCAACGCAACTTAACTTCAAAATCTCGTTCATTTTCGAAAATATACCTGGTCTATCCGGCCATCTGAATTATTGCATACAACATTTCTGTCCCTCCTCCTGACACTGATGTATGCAAATAACGATTAAAGCCTCTAGTTGTGATGGCTACACCCGTTGTTGCTCTGGTTCAACGGAGTCAAAGATTTTCAGTATTCCCTATGTCATTGTTAGGTTGGGCACATTAAGCGAATAATCCATCTTTAAATGTTGTGACGAACAATCGGAAGAGTAGATCAACGTCAGCAATGCTGTTTTTTGTTCAACCCCAATTCCTGCCGACCATGGATCCAGGACCGACAAAAATAATGCTGTGATATCAGCTGTCGTTCCTTCTCAAACAAAGGGAAGTGACAGCTTTATGCTCCTCGTACACCGCGTAAACAGCACCAGTCAAGTCAGTTATTAGAATCGTAAAGCACTTGGCTGTCGCCTTTTGGGGCCTGAACATATCTTCCTGACAAAGATGACTGGATAATGTATGTATTCCCAGACCGCAAAACAGTGACCAAGAAACTAGTCATTTATCAAAAACATTTTCCTCCTGCTGAGTAGCAATATTCGGGGCGGAGGGGAAAGCTGTTCGTGCCTAAACTTATGACATACAATTCAGCCAGTACGTGCGCATATCAAAGGTGTGCCATGTTCCGAGTTCATCAGCACCAAATTCCAGCATGATATGATTACGAATTTCGATATCCCAAAAGGTGCATGGTTTGGGTACACTGACACACAAGCGGAGAAAGTAAGAGGACTTAATACCTCGAATGTCCGTTAGTACTTTACATACCTTAGCAGAGTATTGTTTGACGTCACTGCTAATGTGTGGAGAAGGGATTTCATGAAAGCTAATTATAACCCAGATAGAGCTTGTTTAGAGTGAGAGTTAAAGAGCTGCGATGGGTTTCTTACTTTCACGCTTTAATAGAATACACTAGGTTGCATCTTAGTGCCTTTGGGTTCAATCAAACAAAATGGGTCGGTGAGTTTAGGTCTGGTGAGCTCAAACTCGGGATCTGGGGACTGGAACAGATGGTGTTCTTCCCACGAAACCATTCAAAAAAATAAGAGCTATGTAATGAATCCGCATACCCAAAAGTTGGTGATCAATGGCCACAAACGTTGTCTTCTGTCTTGATACCGATCAGCGATGGTTTGGCGGCATGCGGCCGCTGATGTGCAAACCAAAATCCGCAGCCGTAGTTAGCCATTACGTGCGGTGCATTATGTCATCCAATAGAAAACTTACTTTACCATCCATGAACCTGTTGAAGTTACACAGTGGAAGGATGGATATATCATGCATAAAATACAAGTGCTTAACAACTTCCGTAAGTAAGGAGTGAGGCAAAGAATCGATGTATCAATAAAAAGTAACGCATAGAGGGGGAATGGCCGCAGTTTTACTTATGCACACAATTTGGCGAATAGACACCTAGTTCTGCATAAAAGATTGCAATCACACTGCACAACAGAACGTGCTACACCACATTGTGGGCTTGGTTTTTGTCTAAAAGCTCTCCGACTCGATATCCTAACCTACATTACTTTTATCTATTTCGTCCCTTAGTTAAGTACATGGATAAGGTGGGTATTTTCGAACAAACATGTTGTTTGCAGGGGACAGTGCCATATATGCACTTCACCAATGTCCGTTATTATTTGCAAAGCTATAGATCGTTTCAGGCGCGTCCCTAAGGGATCAACTACGACAAACAGAGCCACAGTGATACTGAGTTTTGATCGGCTTTCACAACAGGGACACATTCACGAAGGCTTTCCGGTATCAGATGGAAGAGCATGCAGCGACAGCTGTCAAACTGACTTTGTAACAGTAGACATGTGCTACGCATTCGAAACGTGTAAATAAAACCTCTTCCTCTAAATGCCTCCATAAAGTACCAAAGCAGCGGCTCACGAATTTTGAAAGTTAATTTAGCTGTCCCCGAAATGGTATCAATGGCCATCCAAGCATGTTATGACAACACGAAAAGTACGGCCAAGCCAATTCCTTCAACAAGTAGAGACCTCAGATACAGAGGAGTTAGTCTCAGTTGTACCTATCTCAAATCTGCCAACCGTGCAAACAACCGTTTCATAAAACTTCAGCAGACCGGCACTATTTGTGCCGGTCACTCACAGCGAACCGAGCTACTAGTGCGTCAACAATTACAATAATGCTACAACAACAATCAGCGGTTGTATTCTAAGCTCTCGGAAACGCGTCATCGACATGAAACCACAAATTTAGACCTCATAGCAGTTACTGAAACTTGGCTTTCACACGACATACTTGATCCAGAGATTGAACTCAGTGAGACGTCAGGCAATCGAAACGACCGTCCATCTCTCGGTGGCGGTGTTGCTCGCTACTATCGAAATTACTTGAAATGTGATGCTCTTACCGAAAATTCCTCTGTTATTCCCGGCGCACTATTTTGCCGACTGCACCTAGCAGGTCGAGATGTTGATTCACAGAAGACGCGTGATGTTTGTCTCCTAGCAGTTATCTATAGGCCTCCAAACACGTCAGCAGACAGCGATAACATTCTGTTAAACGCTGTCCGTTATGCTGTTCCACAAAATTACTCTCACTATCTCATAAGGGGAGACTTCATTTCCTTCAATAGCATCAATTTCCACTAATGTGCCAGCATTCATATCGAAGATCCCTGATTTCATGAATACGGCATTTGCGCATAACCATATGCATCCACCATCCAGACACCGCAGTTCAAACAAGCCATCATTCGTGGACTTAATCCTGACTAATGAAGAGCTGATGGTTGAGTCAGTAGCATACGGTCCTCCACTGGACCGTAGCGACCATTCAGTCCTAGCGTTTGGTTATTTGTGTTAAGCCAGTATTGTTGATAAAGAAAGAGGGACTCAAGGAACTATTATGGACTACTTTAAGCTGCACAACTTAGCAGCAACCGTTGATTGGAAACTACGGACGCACAATTCAGCGAATGACGCATGGAATGCATTGCAAGTTAACATTAATTGGGTCATACAAACAGAAGCAAAGGTTGTACCATTACGAGCATCGCGCCGGACCAATACGTGGATCCAAGCAGAACAAGTAAATGGATCAACCGAAGAGATGAGACCTGGAGGCAACATTCGATAAACCCATGTGATATCACATGGCAGCATTACAAAGCAATCAAAAACTACTGCACGTCGCTCAACAGAGTCGACAAATACGAATGGTAGGATACCACGGTACTGAAATTTACGGGTAACACTAAACAATTATACAGATTTGTGAATGGCGAAGAGTGATTTAGCCCGGAATACCACCACACAAGACGGCCAGTGGCCTAACAACTACTGCTGTGGATGCCGCGAACGCTCTACTCTTGCAGTTCGGCTCAGTAGCTACAAATAGCATCGAACTTTCGCCCTTTCAAGTCTCAACTCACGTCGTTAAATTATCCAGCGTCACCGTTACTCAAACAACTGTTGCGAAAATATTACAGTCTCTCTGGGAGTACAATGACCCTAGCATCAACATGATCTGCCCAAAAGTACGGAAACCCCTTGCTCCCACCATAGTAGTACTACTTGCAATCCTTTTCCAGCGTCTGCTTAACGCCCATACACACTGGGTGGAAACTTAGAATCAGCACACTAAAATACAAAGAAGGTAAGCGATCGAATTCGGCCAACTACCGACCTATCACTCACTTTCCTGTTTTATCAAAAGTGATGCAATCCGTAATCGCAGATGAAATGACACGATACATCGAAAGTATACAAAGAATTCCTAATGCCCAACATGGTTTCAGACGCACGCGATCTTGTCACATCAATTTGCTGCATACTCGGGACTTCTGGACCAGGGTGGCTGTTGAAAGAGTCCCAATATATGTGATTTACTTTGACTTTTATAAAGCATTCGACACTGCCAATCACTTCTTTCTGCTCCAGAAGCTTCCTGCCTACAGTGTCAAAGGTTCTCTGCTCACCTGGTTGGAAGACTACTTACACGACACAACAATCAAGGTAAGGATAGCCGCACTCACTTTTAAAGCCGGTGCGTCTCCAGTGGTGTACCGCAAGGATCCGTTCTCTGCCCCCTACTGTTTTTAGGCTACATCAATGATCTTCCAGCCGACATTCTATCTCCGATGCAAATATTTTCAGATGATGCTAAGATATGGAGAGTAATTCGCTCAGTATCGGACCGTGTCTATCATCAGGATGCTCTGACTCGGATTAACGAATGGG